CTTGAGCAGATTAACGATGTCGCCTCCTCTCTTACGACCTCCCATCCTCCTATCTCGTCTACTGTGATGGGTCTGTTACCACGCTGGGCAGCGCTGGGGCAGCTGTGTGGATTCCTGAGTGCCAGGCCCGCAGGAAAATCAGGATCCGCGACTGGGCCTCCTCCAATGACACTGAAAGCATAGCCATCCTCCCGGGCATTCATGAAGGGGCGACCTATGCTCACACTGAACGCCGGAACCTCCTTATAATCAGTGACAGCACTTCTGCGCTAGCGAGGCTCAAATCACCCTCCCCCTCCTCCCTGCCACCCAACACACCCTAGCCGCCGGGCTATAACAAACTGATGACATCCGTGTCAAGTTTATTTGGGTCCCGTCACATATAGGAATAACTGCCTGTGACACTGTTGATCGGCTTGCCAAAGAAGCGACACAGGAAGAAGATATTAAAGCCACCCTCGCCCTCTCCCTGAATCATCTCAAATCTCGCATACACGCCGCACAACGAGAAGCATTCGACGAAAATTGGACACACCTGAAACAACGGGGTAGCGTCACACTACGCCATTATGACGCTGTTACCGGTGACGACAACCGCCACTACAAAGAGTATCAATCCCTGACTCGATCTCAACAGATTATGTACATGAGACTGCGCCTGGGGTACAGGTACCTATGGGAGTACATTGGCTACCCTGAGCCTGGCTGCACTGTTTGTAAACTTTGTGGCCAACCTGACTCTTTTTTTTTTTATTATTATTTATTGGGCACCCCCCTACATCCTTGTGTAAGGTGAAGCGCAGAAGCGTTTACAGCGCCCAACAGGGAAGCATGCTAAGTTCATGCTTGCGTTTATGTCTCATGAGTTAAGGGCGTAGAAACCTGAAGAGTCAATGGTTTATGTCTAAGCAAGTTATTGGAAGCTCCAACAACTTGTCCCTGAATACGAATTCGCAACTTTCGATTTACAGCAGGTACCTTCATTGCTGCTAGGTGAACAGGGACCAAGGGGGGCTGGGAAGTGTGTCACACCCTCTTTCACCACATCCTCACTTGCCCTATGACCTCCTCCTACAGGTCCCCAGCCGTTACCAACACCTCTTCCCTCCCTGACCAGATATCCCTCCTCCTAGTCACAGGCCTGGCACTTGACATTATTAGGGACCTGCCACACTTTGCCATGAACAGATAAATTGTACCGGGAATTTTCCCCCCACACACTCATCATTCTGTCACTTTATATAACTTGCTGACAAAACCCATGACCCTTCAGGCTTTTTACGCCCTTATTGCAGGAGTCATAAAGGCAAGCATGAACTCTGCATGCTTCCCAGATGGGCGCTGTAAACGCTTCTGCGCTTCACCTTGCACAGGATGTAAGGGGGTGCCCAATAAACCCCTCCCCCAGATGGGCGCTGTAAACGCTTCTGCGCTTCACCTTGCTCTGGATGTAAGGGGGTACCCAATAAACTAGCCCCCTCGGGGGCAATCTAAATCTATTATGTAGGGTGGATTTTTGGGCCATAGAATTTTATGCATAATGGTGGAGACTTACACTGAGAAAAAATTCTGAAATACTACCATACTGTTTAATAGAAGAGATGTGTAAATAGTAAAACAAAGACATACAAACGTATTCAAACCGCTAAATTATAATCAGTGCTACTATAGTATGCGGTCTACCAAGTTGGAGTTGGTCTACCTGGTAGTTACAGTGTAGCATCTATTAACCCATCCTAACCTAATCTAACTTAATCTAATATATCTTAACACAACCTAACCTAACTTAATCTAACTTAACCTAACCTATTTTAACCAAACCTAACCTAACCTAGGTTAGGTTAATGGATGCTAGTGTAAATATCCCGGTAGACACAACTCCAGCTCGGTAAACCGCATGTTATAGTAGCACCTTATAATCTACCTTAATATCCCTGGGAACCCTCAGGTCAGGAACCTCCAGTTCATTATACATCACTAAGAAACATGTCAAGATACAATACGGATGGTATTGTTCATATATTTTAACTCTGTCCCGTGGCCCAAACGTCTGGGGGTCGTGTCTCATGGCCCGAACGTCCGGAGGTCGTGTTTCGTGGCCCAAACGTCCGGGGGTCGTGTCCCATGGCCCAATCGTACATCCACGATAATTAACAGTGGGAGCAGCGGCTGTTGGGTTGCCGGGTGGGTGACTTAGTAACGGACTAACTGCGGTGGCCTCCTCAAGGCCTCTCCACTCGGCACTCAGCCACCGTTACCCTCGCCGTCTTCACTGTAATCAATAGTTGAGGACATGATGTAAGACTTGTGTATTTCAGAAATTACATCAACAGACTTGGCATACTGGGTCAATGTATTTATGACAGATGGAGAAGATTTAGTTAAGTTTGTGGAAAAGATCAACCAATTGTAACGTAAGGTGTCATAACGAATTAGATTTTAATTGCATTTGGAGACGCAGTTTGGTTGGGAGTTGCGTTTCAATATCAACCCATTTATTCCGTTTAAAAATATTCTATGCTCAAGCTGGTACAAGGAAAGGACACATTACAAGTGTTCCTCGAAGTATTTGATTACCCAATTAAAATCTTTTTATGGCGTGTTATATCCTTATCCCTGGAAAATATGCAGTAGTTAAGTGTTTTATGTAATCCTCGATAATCGTTAAAGTTTCATGTTGATGGACCTACGATATAAATTGTAATCTAGTTAATAGACCACACACACGCAAGCTTAACACATGCACTTAATATAGGTTTTTAGAACTTTGAATTAACTGACAATTGATGGATCACTGCACATGGTACTCTTAGTTCCAGTGCTAGACAGATAAACAAAAACATTCAGTGAAATCGACAGACAAGCTTAAATGGTTATAAAAGTACAGTGCAGATACAGAAGCAATGTACAGTACTTAAACAGTGCAGGTACACAAACGACATACGTATACAATGTGCTTATGCAAATATTGTATATATACTGCAGGTATACACTTAAAGAGTATACATAGTACGTACAGTGCAGGTAACATTGTACGTCTCGTTCAAGATTCTTCGAACACTGCTGGAGACAGCTGGCAACTCAAGGCCGTTTGTTTACTAGAGTACGTAGTATAATATAATACGAAACAACAAAGCCCAACCATTAAATTAAGCAACGGGGAAGTAAGGAACCAATCACCTATCACTTTTACATTTATTCATAATTTGTACTACATACTATAGTAAACAAACGGCCTTGAGTTGCCAGCTGTCTCCAGCAGCGATCGAAGAATTTTGAGCGAGACTGTACATTACAGTATTTTTTTTTACGGGGATTAGCCCACCGTATTGTCAATACAGTAGTAAGAGAAACAATTGAGACCCTGCAATTGTGTGTAACTGAGGCAGAAAGTCAGATCAGCAACCTGGGACTTGGTCACAGTTTTCGTGATGCCATATGGCAGCAGGGTCTACCATTAGACAATACATTATGCTTCCAATACCTTCCCAGGCGGTAGTACAGGTATACAAATAATGAGCACAACAGAGCAGGGATAAATTACATATACTTTACATAGAGCAAATATAAAAACAGTATACATAGGCAGTGCAAGTATACAATGTATATAGACTGCAAGTACTGTATACAACATTCATAGTGTAGGTATGCACTGGTAAACAGTATGTCCGTACTACAAAGAATTGCCTCATTTGGTAAGCAGAATCACTAATCTTTAAATTTAGTTATATTTATGGTAATATATTACAGGTATTACTATTTTATTGGTTAGAAGAAAATAAAACAAAAAGATGGTTACCTTCCTTAGTTATTGAGTATGCTGGTGATCCATATACTGTATAGTGCATCGAGTGATGGCTAGTAGTAGTAGTAGTAGTAGTAGTAGTAGTAATAGTAGTAGTAGAGAGGCACTGGAAATGACATCATTTGTTGAGTCACGCACTCTTGAATTATGGAATGATTCACCACGCGCGGGAAGTGACACTGCAGGGGGTTGGAGGGTGGGAAGAGGGGACTGGCGGTGGGGGTGCTGAAAGGGTGGGTGGTGGCGTCTAATATTAGAACACCGAAGTAGAAAAGATACAAAGAATAACGTTAATACGGATAGGAAGGAAATTATATAATTATGAAAACTATATACTGTACATGTAATGTTAACAACGGCTCAGCCTATCTGTGGGTTCAACCTTTGTTGAATTTACCCGCCAGCCACGCCCTTATTTCTGAGGCGGTGGATTGTACGTTAGGACGTAAACACGGGCGCACCCAGTAATTGAGTAGGGGGGTTTCCAAATTATTGAGAAGTCTGGCAAGCGTAGCGAGCCCTTTCAGCTGGGGGGCGCTGTAAGTACCCCCCCCCCGGAAAATGTTTTGAAATATGACCAATATTTGACGCCATTTGCACTGAATCTTAGGAAATAATCTGAGGTTGAAGATGGTGTAATTTAGCATCCTAATCTTTGTATATAGACTTATATTACAGGATAATAGAAGACATAGCGTTGTTGAAGGCTGTTTGATCATGTGTTTCGACCGCCCGAACGGCTAGTAAGCTGATGAATAGTGAAAAAGAAAACAGCTAAAAAAAAATCAAGAGCCGTTATGACACCATTAGTTTTCGTTGAAAACCCATATAAGATTTTTATTCATCCTGTTGATGAATGCTCTATTTTATTACTAAAAGATGCAAAATAATAGTAGCTTTTAATATAAAATACTTAATGGTATAACGATATTAAAATTTGAAATCCCTTCAACGATATGCAATTATCCGGACTTGAGGAACATTCAGTGAAATTTCGTCTCGAATCTTTATTCTGGACTGGATTAAGAAAATGCAAACCATTTAATTATTTGCAGTTCTTTGTACGAATTATAAAATAATTTTTTTATGTAATAATAATTTTCATGAAGCTTTAAAATTTTCTGACACATTGGCGCCACTTGTGAACCAATGAGAGCGTTCTCCATTGTGCGTTGTTCCAATCAGAGGGCGTTGGTGTTATGACGTCATGGGTGGTATATAAACCAGGAGCACGGAAGATTTTTGTCAAACCGTTGAGGAATCGCGAGGGCAGCGTTTATAGTTCCTTGTGATCTCGGCAGAGGTTCGCGTGTAAGACTTCCCTTACAGTAACAACATGGTAAGTTAATACTAAAAGTTTGAAATCTATATTTTGAAAATGGTGTTATGAAATAAGTGGTTTGGTTGTGAAAGTGAAGTGATATCTTTGTACTTAATTTTACACAGTGCAGGTACTGCAGCCGTATTGACGGCAGAGAATCGCGCATGCGGACAATGCGGTACAGGGTTATTCCTTCCGCTTGGGCAAAACGGTTGGGTTAGTCAGAAAGGTCATACTCACATGATCTGGAAGAGGCTCACGCCTGTATTATTGTAGTTTCCATTTGGGACTTATTTACGGGTTTAATTATTTTCCTTCCCTAAAGTTTTCGTGTTGGCCGTTGATTATTATCCGTGGCGCCATATGACCATGGTTGTCATCGGGTCTAAGATAGGATTCATAATTCATTCTCTCGTATTGTAGTCCGCCCACACATTAGGCTGCCATGCCAATAGATATCGACGCATCTTGCAGTGCTGGCTGTATCTATTTTTTTGCGTTAATTTTAAAGCGGTAATGTTTTCGAAAGTGGAATTGGCGGTTGACCAGTGTGAGGGAGAGCCGGGCCGGCGGACGAAGACCCCCCCCCCCTCCCTCCCCTCGTTGGAATTTCCCCAGCACGTGACATGTTTTCCGTTACCATTTTGTAAGAAATACGTAGTATGTAATTGTTCAGTTTAACGATTACTTAAATGGGGAAATACTCGTTTAGTGGCTGTGGCTACATTTTGTCATGATAATAGGTTTTGGGAGCAAATGAGCTTATTTTGTAAAATTAAGTATTTTTTGAAATTTTTTAACCCCTTTGCCAAAATTTGAAGGTCACTTAAATACGCGAAAAGCCTATTCGCAACCATTTCAACTTTCAAATCACTTGAAACCTAACCTCCATGGATAAGCACGTCACGGTCGACACAACCGGGGGACTTTTCCTGAGAGCGGCTGACTGTGCATGGGAAGAATGTAGGTTTATTTCTGATAACATTTTTACTCCTCTCCTTTAATACTAATTTGGCCAAGAAAAGACATAACTTTCTTTGTTGCTACCCTTTGTTACATACAAACAGGCTCATGCATGGTTTTAAATTAGACAAATTTAGATTTAGGCGTGAAATAGGTAAACACTGGTTTGGAAACAGAGTAGTGGATGAATGGAACAAGTTACCAAATATCATCATTAACTCGAATACGCTGAATTGCTTCAAACATAGGTTGGATGCTCATATGAGCAATAGGGGTTGGGTGTAAACGGGACTGCCCAGTATGGGCCAATAGGCCCGCTGCAGTTTCCTCCATTCTTATGTTCTTATGTCCTTAACGCCATGTATGAAATAGGGGGTATATTATGCCGCGTAAGATTTGTGACTCCTCAATGATCACAGGTTGTGGTATCAAAAATGGCAATTATCGTTAGTCGGTAAAGCCAAGAAGTGAAATAACTGCGGACTTACCTGTTGTGATTTTGTCGGAAAGTTTAACTTTAAATCTTAAATGCAGAAGTCCGATGTTATAGCAGATACTTGTCGACTACAAAAGTGCAAGTAGGTCGTGGCTTAAGTTTACAACCTTTAAATTATATAAGGGGAAAATATCACTTGTTCCAACAAAACGAATTTGGGATTCGTTAAAATTGGTAATTTTGACAATTGTAAGACATCAATTGCATTTCTGGCGCAAATTACGTATAAGCGAGATATTTAACATTTTCTGTATGAAAGTTTACCTTTCACTTTGTTGCCACAAAATGATTCTCTTGAATTTTAGAGAGAGTATTTCACTAATTGCCATTAAACGAATTTCGGGAATATTATAGTTGCGGTAATTTTGACAATTATAAGACGCTTATTTAATTACATTTTCAGCGCTAATTGCGTATAAGTGATGTACAGTATTCAACATTTTATTATGTACCGGTATGTTTGAAAGGATACACCCCATTTCGTTACCAATATCAAGTCCGTTTCGTCACCACTAACAGTCTCTGGTATTAATGAAAAATTGTTATTATTTTACACGAATATAAATTACACATGTATACAGACGATTCAAGAAGTATTGTATTATACATGAATATTAATTATTTAATAAAGAAAACGATTAAAACATTGGTAAGTAAACAAAATACAGAACAAATGAAGATTTATTGTTATTACTGTACATGAATATTAATTGCTTTATAAAGAAAACGATTCAGCATTAGTAAACAAAATACAGAACAAATGAAGGTGATTTGGCACGGACACACAAGTCACCGAGCAGTGAGACGATTGCAGGCGCATTAACAATATTTTTATTTTATCTTCGTCTTTTAATAAATTGTCTTGGTGTTTTTTTTAATTTTCTATCCCAAGCAACAGTTATTATCGTGTTTATATTGATGGGAATGAACGCGGTGGCGATATGGGCAGACTGTAAGTGGTGGTACACACCCAGAATATCGAATGACTGGAGGGTACCCCGGGCTAGGTTCAAAATTTTCTCCTGTGGTTTTTGGTGATTGAACACTTGTACCTTAATTTTTATAGCAAATCTCTATATTCTGATATATGGGGGAGGTCTCTCGGAAATGAAGGTAAATTTTGTTCATAACCCATGGGAAAAGTTTCAACTTCGATTTTGTTCAGTGACATGTGAAAGGTAAATTTTCAAACACAAAAAGTTTTTAAATATCTCTTTTATACGTAATTTGCGCCTGAAATTCCTGTGGAGAAAAGTCTTAGAATTGTTAAAATTACGGAATGCCACTAAAATTTCCAAGATTCGTTTAGTGACAAAAAATGAAAAATATCATTACAGTGCATCCAATACCTAAGAAAAAATCTTTAAGTAGACACTCCTGTAACAATAAAATTGCCCGTATCGATTCGAGAAACAGGCCATCGAACTTCATGTTTTATTTATTTATATATATATATAATTTTTATTTTATTTTTTTTGTGCAATAGTGTTTAGTTAGCTATTTAGTTTCGATCATCCTGGGAATTTTAGGAATTTAGGTTAGGTTAGGTACAAACAGTTCCTGGGTTCTGTGGCAAAGTTAGGTTACATTAGGTTGGTTTGGTTAAGGTAGGTTTGGACATCAAAATACAGGGATGACAAACTAAAATTTCACCTTTAGTCGTGCCGTTTAAGTGTACTTTTGTCTAAAGGTAAGAACTTGCTGGAGTAGACCAAGCTGTTAGTTCCATGTTGCTGTCATGGAGGTTGAAAAGTAAAATGATTCGATTTAGTAATGCATATGGGTTTTCTTGGTTGGGGGGGGTACTTGACAATTGTACTAGGGTTATCTCTGATATTTAGATATTCAAGATTTTAATTTGTGATTTCTCGTACCTTTCATATTCTTTACAGACAGGCTTGTGTGAGTTGTGTACTATAGTTAGTGATGAATACCGAACTAGTGCCTTCATAACTCGGTTAAAATAATGCATGCAAGATATAGGTATGGCAACTCTATAACCACAGTCTGTCAATACAGCTGCTGTATCTGCATCCAGTGTTAAAGTAACATACATTATGTAGAAATGAAACTTAAAAGTGTTTTTATTTACAGCGTGAGTGCATCTCCATCCATGTAGGCCAGGCTGGTGCCCAGATGGGCAATGCCTGTTGGGAGCTGTACTGTTTGGAGCATGGCATACAGCCTGATGGCCAGATGCCCTCAGACAAAACCATTGGTGGTGGTGATGACTCTTTCAACACTTTCTTCTGTGAAACTGGTGCTGGCAAGCATGTTCCCAGGGCAGTGTTTGTCGATCTTGAACCTACTGTTATAGGTGAGGATATTAGTGCTTATGCATTCACACTTGTGCATTTGCATACACGTGTGCATTTGCATACACGTGTGCATACATTTTCTAACCTAACTATAACTGATACTACATAGTTTAAATAATTTTTAACATGTTTTACTGTAATCTTAAAAATGTTGGGAGGCTGTGTTCAGTACTAATATACATGTCCAGTCCCCTACAGAAGTCCTATTGCCTATCCTGCTGTTCCACACACAGATTTCAGGCTCTTGAAACTTAGCAGTAGACATTATTTTCCATAAATGTTTATGATTCATTTGGGGTTTGTGGTTCAGGAGAGGTGAGAGTACTATTGTGGGTGATTGAAGTTGATAAAAAAAAGATTGCGACTTCTGTTGTCATGGTAGGGTTACCAGAATCCTTTGTCCATTGTCACAATGTTTGGGATGCACCTATTAATCCGTATTGACAAGCAGATAGTATCGGTATTTTACCGTTTAATCGGTATCGATAAGGTTCGTATCGGCTGATATTCTGTACATAGTGTTTGCCATGTAAGTCAGGGGTAAAATAAGAATTATTCTGACCATGCCAAGCTAAACTCTTAATTTTGCAGTAATACTGTACAGCTCTAACATATAGAATATTATTGCAATCATGTTTGGACCAAGCTGGACTGGTCCAACTTAGTCTTTTAGAGGGGTCTAGAGGGATCTACCGGTAATTCTTAATATTCTTGGTTAATTGCTGTTCCTGAATAGCTATAGGGCCAGCAATATCAAGTTTGTTTTAAAACGGGTGTTGATTATAGTGAAACGATGATTAACAAAAAACCAACCTTACGTTTACAATACAGATCTTGAAGTAAGGGTGGTTAGACGTTTCCTCCTATAAGACCAGATTAGAGTTTAATATTATACTTCAGGAGTATGTGTCTTATAAAAAAAGCGGTTGGTGCATCCCTACATATTTTCTTAACATAATTTTGTAAGGATAGTTTTTTGTTTCACTGCACAGTAGCAAAAACAACTCTGCGGGTGGGGGCTGATATGCAACAAAATTCTATGCGTGACTAGTGGCAGCCCTCATATACCAAAATTTATCATCCATTGTCTCGTATTGTTTCCCACAAAGTATGCACAGATAGTTGTTTTAGCTACTGCACATCTTTTTCTTGATTGAAGGCAGTTTACCAGGCCGTGTTGCAAAAGCACATGCAATAAATTTAGGGAGGTGAAGGCAGTTTACCAGGCCGTGTTGCAAAAGCACACGCAATAAATTTAGGGAGGTGTTGCACTACATCTTTAAGTTGTGCAACTCCACTGTCACTTGAGACTGCAACCTTTACTGTATAAGCATTTATTTTTGATGTGTGATGGTGGACAATAGATAAATTAATTTAATTCCAAATAAGCCAGTTGCAAGATTGATGTTTTGGTGGGGTACAAAATTAACTTTAAAGTTGGTATAATTTCATTGCACTTAAATGTGTAGTTTCATTTGTTGAAATGGTTACATTCAGTGAAGTAAATAAACCTGCACCATAATTCTTCTACAGAATAGATTCAGGACTATCCTTTTGCTTGTTTTTAAACGACTTTTTAATACTTCTAGTAAACCTTATGACATGATTACATTATTCATATCCAAGGAATGAAATTAATGGCAATATTTTGCTGCTTTTCAAATTTTAAACCATTCTGGGCTTTTATCATACTTTGTTTACTTAAGAAATTCAAATTGGTAAGCACCAACAGGGTGGAATTAACTTTTGTGATAATATATTGATTTAGAGGTATTGTTATTGTGAAGTGAATGTTGCTTTGGTTTTAAAGCTCGCCAGATAGAATGCTATAAAACTTGAACCTACACTCTTAAGCTTTTCATGCATTCAATGTTATGTGCTTGTAGCATCCTATTACTGTGTAATGGAAATCCAGTGTCAGTAATTCCCATTTACCGATATTTGACAAATTATACCCTTTCAACGCTAACCTGGCCCAGAAGCCACGCCCTTCTTGTTCAAAGAAAATTCAAATACAAGTATGTTCACAATTGGTAAACAGTCCTGTTATTATCTAAAATAATATCTGGACTCAAAATGAAAACGATTTCAAGGCATTAGCACTACAGGGAGGATGTTAAAACATATAAAATATATATCTTATAAGGTCAACAAATACACGCTGCAGGGGCGGGGGATAAAAGGCTCGGGGGAACCAATTGGCTATATGTAGCTATAGACGTGGGGTGTGGCTTACGGGCCAGGCTAGCGTGGAAATACTATGGCATTAGTAATTGCGTTGACATGGTTAAACAAGGTATTTTCTAAATTAGGGCAAGGTCACTGAGCATAGTATAATAATTACAAAGTATTGCAATTGTGGGAGGTTCAATTAAATAAGTTTCATTATTTAAGTGGGTGGTACGGTATTTGAAACTGCCATGTCAGTTTGTGGTACCCTTGTTAGGTTCTGATTCTGAATAAAACTGGCTGGATAATTATAAAATCCTCTCGAAGAATGCTCTAAGATGGACCATAACAAGGTCCATAGTAAACCTGAACATCAAAAAAATTGGTAATGCTGTGGCAAAACTTTGTTCCGGCACAGTAATTTGTTTGCATTTTGATTGGATGTGTAGATTTGGCTTAAAAGAAAGAAAAAAAATCTGTTATGTACAGTTGGACAAAAGTTCGCTCCCTCTGGTGAAACAGACCTGGGAATTAGTCTCCTAGCTGACTTATCCCGACAGTTTCATCTCATTTGGAGTAGATGCTGCTTCATTTTGGGAGGGGGCAAAATTTTGACCCGACAGTACAGTAGCTCAAATTATCTTTACAGAATAAACACTCCTGTTGTCTCTAGGATTGCCAAAATTTTACATCTGTTATATTGTAAAACAATTTTGAGTGACTACAGTTCATTTACTTAGTGGCCAAAGGAAGGTCAGTGGCCTGTGTAAGATCCCTCCATTGTTCTTGATAATTTTATTGAGGAATATTTTGAAGCCCAAAGCTTGGGCTAATAGGCCATTTTATTGGTAAACTACCATGTGTGAAAAATATTTATCATTCTGCAGGATAACTTGGTCAGCTTGTAGTTATGTCCTTTCATGTTGGTGGTGTGCAACACCCCAGAAATGTTGTGGGTTCATGTTTGCCATCCCCTTCAGGATTTTGAAGGCTTCAATGAGATCTCTATTGTGCCTTGTCTGAAGGGCTGTTGGTCCTACTTGTATAATTGAGATGACATAGTCCTGAAACCACCAATAGTCATTTTTTGTTGCACCGTTTCAGGGGATGTTGGATCTTTCTGGAGGTAGGATTTTCATGCTTGTAATCCAGACTGGGACATACTTGAGATTTGTACAGTTGAAGTGTTTTCCTATCTTTGTACATGTATTCTCAAAGGTATACTTTGTAATTCCCAATTCTATATACTTTCCTCACTACCCCCCTCCTCCCCCCCCTCCCAACTTTTTGCATTGACTTCAATGTGTGCTCTATTACCATCTTGCAAAGTTAAAATGTTGTTATTTCTTCATAAAAATTTTGTTGCAGACAAATTTGATCATATTTAAAGTTTTTATGGGTAGGTTGTAATATTCATAATTTATCAGTTTTGTCAAGTTACTGGTAACTGCTGGGGGGGGGGGGGATAATAATAATTTACAGTATGTACTGTACAGTGCTTAAAAAATTAATTTTTTTTCCCAACTTTTCTATATACTGTACTGTGAGTAGGTCTGTTCCTTCGCTGTAATACCCTGTTTATGGTGGATATCTCGTTCGCCACTAATGGATATGTGATTAATTGTTCTACTTTTCACTCTTCTTAATGATGACTGTTGGCTTAGGCCACTGTTACTAAACCTTTGGGTATTTCACTCAAACCAAAAGTTTTTATTTTCCCTGATTTATAACAGAACAGGTATACAAGCATTGATAAAAGTACTGTATTGACAATAGACCAATAAAGCAATTGGCTTGTTTACATGAACTGTGTAAGTGGTTGGGACTGATGATTAATCTTAGAAAAAATTGACTAGCACCACACTGCACTTGAATGATTGATGGTATTCCCCCCCCCCCCTACATGTGTTAATCCATAACTCAATTCTAGCTCAGTGATTATGAAATTGGTAACTGCTGTTTATCGAGTGATTTGCTTACCTCTGTTAATTCTTTCCACTAACCTCAATTATTCCCTCTACAGATGAAATCAGAACTGGTGTGTACCGTCAGCTGTTCCATCCTGAGCAGTTGATCACTGGCAAGGAAGATGCGGCAAACAATTATGCACGTGGTCATTATACAATTGGAAAGGAAATTGTTGACATTGTACTTGACCGCATCCGCAAACTGGCAGACAACTGCACTGGTCTTCAGGGATTCCTAATTTTCCATTCCTTTGGCGGTGGCACTGGCTCAGGATTTACTTCTTTATTGATGGAAAGGCTTTCTGTTGACTATGGAAAGAAGAGCAAGCTAGAATTTGCAATTTACCCAGCTCCCCAGGTAGCTACTGCAGTTGTTGAGCCCTATAACTCTATTCTGACCACTCACACAACTCTTGAACATTCGGACTGTGCCTTCATGGTTGACAATGAAGCCATCTACGACATCTGCCGCAGAAACTTGGATATTGAACGACCCACCTACACCAATCTGAACAGGCTGATTGGCCAAATTGTTTCCTCTATCACAGCTTCTCTTAGATTTGATGGTGCCCTTAATGTGGACCTAACAGAGTTCCAGACTAACTTGGTGCCTTACCCAAGAATTCATTTCCCTCTCGTTACATATGCCCCTGTAATCTCTGCAGAGAAGGCTTACCATGAGCAGCTTTCTGTATCAGAGATCACAAATGCCTGCTTTGAACCTGCCAACCAGATGGTAAAGTGTGACCCCCGACATGGTAAGTACATGGCATGCTGTCTTCTCTACCGTGGTGATGTGGTGCCTAAAGATGTAAATGCTGCTATTGCTACAATCAAGACAAAAAGAAGCATTCAATTTGTGGACTGGTGTCCTACAGGCTTTAAGGTTGGCATTAACTACCAACCACCTACTGCTGTCCCTGGTGGAGATTTGGCTAAGGTATCCAGAGCTGTGTGTATGCTGTCGAACACTACTGCCATTGCTGAAGCTTGGGCTCGTTTGGACCACAAGTTTGATCTGATGTATGCCAAGCGTGCATTTGTGCACTGGTATGTTGGTGAGGGAATGGAGGAAGGAGAGTTCACAGAAGCTCGTGAAGATCTTGCTGCACTTGAGAAAGATTATGAAGAGGTTGGTGTTGACTCTGCTGATGCAGAGGGTGAAGAAGAAGGGGAAGAATATTAAATGATTTGCATGAATATCCCCCAGCATTCCATATTCAGAAAGATGTAATAAAAACAAATCGATAAATTAATTAACTTTAATTTTCCTTCACTTGTGTAGATTAAAAAAAAAATACGTATTGAATGTAGGTTGTCCCTAATGAATTGTATGTTGGAAGATTGTTCTGTATAGTAAATTGAATGTGAATTTGATGAATTAGACTGGTTTGATGTTCAAGAATTGGGGGGGGGGTTATTAGGGATGTAGTACAGAAAATGAAAACCTTGGCAAAGTGGAGCCAGGAGGACCTAAAAGGGTAGAGAAATTAAGATTAAAATGGAAGTTTAATAATTAGGAATTAATGGTTGCCTATTGGAAGTTTGTGAATGTTTCTTGTCTGAACTTTGTCGTGCATTAAGGGTGTTGAACTACCATTAGGTAATTATGGTGACAAAGTGGCAGTGAAACTGTTGGGGTTCTTGGTCTAAATCAAGGAATATTAAGAAATTGAACTTCCATAATCTTTAACCCCAAGACTGGCATTATTGTAGGTGGGGAGAGCAAATGTGTTGCTTAACTTTTCTAATTATTCCGCTGCTGTAACAACATTGTAGAGGGGATGGTTAGTTACTGTATCCCATTGCTGCACCATTTTGTGGGGTAGAAGCTTTTATTGCCAGTACTTCCACAGTAGTATATTTATTTTCTGGTTTGTCTGGGAAGCCCTTATGGTAATTCAATATTTAATCTTGTAGCTATTAGTTTGTTACATTGTCAGCAACCAAAATATTGTATCCGAATATACCATATCACATTTAACCTTGGGAACACTGGTAGCCTGGCGAAGTCTGACATGTGGATTCTGGTATATTTGCTGGTACAAATATATGGGAGAAACCAAGGCAAATACTGCAGTGACAAATGTGTAGGTGCACTGCCCTGCATAACTGAGGTGCAGTAGTGTAGGCAAGAAGAATTTTGTTCAATAAATTCAGTAAAAAAAAATTATGGATATATCGCCTATTTTATTCACAAAGGAATGTAACTGACAATAATATTGATTGTGTATTTTGATAAAATTTTGGGTAGCAGTGGCTTTACTCCGGCAAGTACAGTATAAGAAAAAAAACCCCATTAATGCTGGCTCCTGAAAGTATCAACCTGCTCCAGTGTTGGTCAGATCTGGGCAGGTATACACAACTTTTAACAGTTAGCAAACCGTTATGGCTGACACTAGTAGTACATACAAAACTTTTAAGGGCCTTAATAGTACTGTTAAGTTAAAAGACCTCTGGAGCACTTACCGGGTAAGTCCCGTAACAGTCTTAATTGATACCATGGCAAACCAACAGCGGCAGCAATGCATTTATCGGGAAAGGAGAGAGATATTTAATGAATATATTGTGTTCCCTCTATAGCAGAGATCTTTCTTGACTTGGACAATACTGAGGATCGGCGTGTCTCGCATTGCCACTGACCTCTGCCCTCCAGGAAATGCAGCATTGACTCCTGGTGATTTTCAGCCATGCCCTCTGGTTATTTTTTGTTAACCACCCCATCACCTTTTTTTCACATGAGATTTATTTTCTCGCTAGTTTTCTTGCTGTTTTAGATGATTCTGGCATTTATCTTTGGGGCAATTAACTTTTTTTTTTTTTTTTAGGTTAGGATGTGGTCTGTTAGGTCAAGTAACCTAGCTAAAAAAAAAAAAGTTAGGTTAGGTTACCTGACCTAACTAAAAAAAATTATTTGCCCCAAAGATAAATGTCAATCACATAAAACCACAAGAAAACGAGCTAAAAAAAATGTGAAAAAAGGTGATGGATGGTTAACGAAACGAGAGCGACGCTGCGTGTCACCATAGCATCAAATTGGGACTCCGAAAAATCCGTCTTTATAACTAATAAATCGCATCGCGTTTATTTTTGGAATGCGCCGCTTAATTCTAGTACAGTATATTCATCTGTTAGTCGAGTAGATCTAATATATGGTAAGAAAAAAATCGTAAAAAGGTAATGGGTTGATAACTAAAAATTACTTTTTTTTTCTTTATTCAGGAAAGCATCCACCAATAATAAAGTCTGGTCTGCTGTCCAGTTGGGCTCCATTTTCATTCGTTGAGTTGAGACTTCCATTTCCTCAATATGTTTGTTTACAAACAGCACGGCAAGGAAAAGCCACCGATCACTATTTTGGTTAATAAATCCTCCTTCAATCTGCAAAGATTAGGGGTTTTTTTAATGATCGAAATGTATATAAATGTAAATATTGAAATTAATCTAAATAATTTTATTGAGGTTAGTTGGTTGGTGATATGGAGAGAAGAGAGCATTAACTCTGAGGGTACAAGAAGGGTACAGTACAAGGTCAAGTTCAGAAGTGGGAAAAATAGGAGGAGGTTGACAGCAGGTAGGCTATCCACCTTGTGGAGTATTGAGGTTATTCAACCATAAGACCATTTTATATGATGAATTCTTGCTATTTTTAGCACTTTAACGGTACTTTACTAACAAATATTTGTTCGGTAAAAGTTTGCTAGTTGAGCTTTGTGTATAATTTCTAAATTTTACTGCTAGCTAACTACTATCATATTCGCAAAAAAGTTTAGTGTATACGGGCCCTGTGGTCTTCAAAGAGACTGGTGCCTGCACTTCGGCACCTCAACTACCCTGAGAGATTGGGGCGCTTGAACTTGCAAGGGGCGACCTAATTGAGGTGTATAAGCATCTCAAGGGGCACTACTCATTCGAGTGTCAATTGGAGCTGGTGGCTCACGCCCCACACGGGGTCACCTTGACCCCGCTCAAGATTGAAGAAGCCGCAGTTCCAGAAAACTGTGAGGGCAAACATTTTCAGTGTGAGAGTTGTGATCTCTTGGAACAATCTACCAGAAAGTGTTGTGTCGGCACGGAGTGTGAGCTCTTTCAAGACCAGACTTGACCAACACTGGAGCAGGTTCAGGTACATTCAGGAGTTGGTGCCTGCCCAGTGCTTGCCAACAGTGCGCAACAGAGACGTGACCGATCGCCCAAGCGGCTAACGAGCCGATCAGTGGTGAAGAGGATAAAGTAAAAGTAAAGAGCTCGCACTGTGCTGTCACAACATAGGTAGAATGTTCAAAGAGTTCATACTGTGCTGTCACAACATTGGCAGAATGTTCAGAGTTCACAATTCTCACCCAAAAAAGTTTCCACTCAGTTTTTTGGACTTGTGGCTTTACAAACTTGAGCTGTTGCCCCTTGTGGGGCTGGTGTCCACCAGCTCCAGGTATGGACACGCAACTGAGTAATACAAGCTAGGCAATTGCAGGCGTTCTAATCTTTCTGGATAACTAAGGTGCTGTAGTGCAGGCACTACAATCAACTGGCAGTCTCTAGCTCTAGCATATCTCGGGGATCAGACGGGGTGACAGTACCCCAGGCAGGGAAGCACTTCTCTCTTGAAGATAGTTACTGGGAGTGGGACGGCCCTTCTAGATATCTGAACGACCTTATAAGACCTAGTTTAGTTGCCTGATCAGCTTTTCACGATGGCCCAAGAATTTCAGTTAATTTTCAACATACACACCCAGGTGCTTTTCACATTCGGTCACATTAATGCGGTTCTTTTGTCCGGTTGGGATATGTGATAGCCTCCTTACTGTTGGTACGACCTAGGTGCATCCTCTTACACTTCATGACATTGAAGTTTAGTAGCCATTTCTTCGACCACGAAGCTGACAGAGATCTTCTTGTAGCTCTTCACAGTCTGTTTGGTTTTTAATTTCCCTGAATAATTTGGTATCTTCCACAAACATTTGTATGGAGGAGTCTATAGCTTCTGGCATATAATTTTTTAAATAAACAACGGGCCCAGTATATTGCCCTGTGATACAGTTGCGGAAATGTGTTTCTATGTCCCCGGTGGTAATTTATAGCAACGTTACAGTAATAGTATCAGTTTATGAATGAATGGGTATTGGTCGTGTAACGACGGACGTGATTGGTGGATAAGTTTGCTATAGGTCGTAGAGGTTGGCCGTTTGGAGAATAGGTTACCACAGGGGGTGTAGGAATATTCCCGCAACTGTACCCTGTAGTGAATACCTCCCCTACAAACGCTGTTTGTCGCTGAGTAGCCGACCCCGCGAATTCCCCAGTGTATGCCTCGTGGTCTAGGTCAACCAGCGCCGCCTTACATGACGGAGGTCAACTATTAAGCCACGCCTACCTCCGCTATATAAGACCTGACCTCGTGGTGACCACTGTCTTTTCTACCGACACCAACCAGCAAGCAACACCTCCTCCTCCTCCTGCCTGGCGGTCCTCGCTCCCGCCGGCGAGCATGGCGACCCACAAGCTGGTCCTCCTCTGAGCACCCTCACCAACCAGCTCTCTCTACTCAACGCTTGTAACCATGCCACTTCCCAGCACCACGCTGCACTGTACATCCAATACAATATGTATACAGAGAGCACATTGTGAGTTTCCTTTCTCCATCCCATCCTGAGTGTGAACCCAACATCCGTACCCCACAAACCCACTTGTCACGGGTACTCAAGACGATTTCAAGCCATTAGTCACCACACACTGCATGTGGTCGCGAAGAGTCTGATCTATGCCAAGACACTTTCCCGAATCCCATACCCTTCCAGTTTAATTCTCAGCCTTTCATTATTGAAAGCCCTGGCTAAATCTAGGTACATATTATCGATACCGCCCTTGAGTTATTTTGTTAAGCAGGAGGGTCCTGGCATAAAACGGAGTTGGCACTCCTTTACAAGGTTTTGTAGTAGATGTTCCATCAAGGCATCTCTTATAATGGTCTCCAGTAATTTACACACTATGCTGGCCAGGCTCACTGGTCTATAATTATGCGTGGAGTGATGATCGCCCTTCTTGAATATAGGACTCACATAAGCCATTTTCCAGTCACTTGGACCTTTTGTTCATCCAGACATTTACAGAACAGAATCTTATGGGGCTCAGTAAGCTCGTTACACAACTCTCTTTGCACTTAGGGATGCATCACGTCAGGGCCGGACTTATGAACCTTTAGTTTTGACATTTTATTTCTTATACCCCTTTCTGAGAACACAATGTAGGTCAGCTC